CAGCACTGTCATTGTTGGGTTAGGTGCCTCTAGATTAAAATTTAAATCTTGCAGGTTAGTTATCCTATCTCAAATTATTTTTGGTTAATCGATTTTGCTTTCTTTCCTCTTACTATTCCAGGTTTCATATTTAAACATTTCCTAGTACAAGACGGGGAAACTATGCAGCAAGTGTGGGCAGTTGTGATGAAATCCAACTACAACAAGTGCTGGGGATATGGTCATGGCAAATATAAGCAAAAAGAAAACAAATCTACAGATTAAACAATAATGAGATGAATGTGTTAAACAAATTTGTAATGCAAAATCATACACACAATATATTTGATTGATGATTATGCACCAAAATAATCATTATTGTGAAAATTTGTAGCTTCGTCTTCCAGTATATATAATTATGGCAATCTTTGTTTATGTCTTGATCTAGATTTTTATTTAGGTTTGAATGGTGACCCCCCTCCCCCCCCCCCAAAAAAAAACCCTGCACTGGAGGCAAGGATTTCTTTTGATTTGACTGTGCCATAGGAGAGGGAATTTGAGGAAATTGGTCAATTCGCTAATTTTATTTGCTAATTACATCGTCACTTAATTAGCAAAAAAGTTCATTGTTATTAGTATWTTTCTCCTAATGTATCTGATCAATCGAAGCCAATTTTACATTTGTATTAAACTGTTCCACTCTGTTTAGAAAAAGTTTGATGTTTGTCACTGTTTTTTGTGCCAGGTTTGCCGTATGTTATTCAGCATGTATGATGTTTAATGTTTATTACAGATAATTAAATGATAAGAAACTGTTATGCAAATTTATCAAAGAAATTACATAGTTTTGACAACATTTTTATGGACAATTCTGCAAAATGTATCAGCTACTTTTATAATATTTATATTATAATTAAGTGAGGAAATTTCACCAGTATATTACAAAATTAAAAGTTTTCCCTTTTTATGTGAGTACTTATCATTTAGCTGTGGGTGCAATTGACCAATATGCATTATATTGCAATCATGATACATATTGTCAAGCCTTTTAGGGGCGAATTCAATCGCGATCTAAGGAAGTGTGATTTAATGTTAATAGATATATGTAATTTTATCTAGAATCCCACTTGTAAAGTTTGATCACACTTGAAATCACACGTGTGATTCACCCTTTTTCACACTTTATCACACTACTTTTCACACTTTACAGAAGTGTGATTTAAAGAGTGATTCACACATCTTATTAAATATCACATGTGTGATCACAATTTAAGTCACATGTGTGATCACACATTTATTTTTGCATGGGAGCTGATAAGGTCAAAATCCCAAACTCGAGTAATAGGATAGCGATCGCATAACGAGTTTACACTCCACATCTTTCAATGTCTGGACACTCCGACTAACTGCTTGTCTCTGAGGTCTGTTATCTGTCCATTTGCCAAGACACTAGCTTATGTTGAAAAATCAAATTATTTCTTCGGCACTTTAGCTAGGTTTATCTGTTGGTCTTGACAAAGGGAAACGAATAATCGCATTTCCGATCACTAATTAAGCAGTTTCCAAAAATGTTTTCAAACTTTTAAAGCAGCCTGGAAACATGCAATGCAAAGCTTAAAACTCCATTAGCTGAAACGTTTAGACCTAAAGATAAGATTGTAAGTTGTGCTTGCGGAAAAAAACCAGAGCACACAGCTGATTAGAAAGAGATAAGTGCACTTTGTTTAGCAGAATGGTCTAAAGGTCAGCATATGCATCAATGACTATTACTATCAAAATAATACCAAAGGATCATTTCAAGACTAATTAATGGAAAAAGCTTTGAATTCCTGATTTAGTTCACTATATCCCAAAAGCAATTACCAAAAGTAAAGGCACATCTTCGATTTTTCTAAACCAGCTCGAGGTAAGGATAATAGCAGCAGTTATTACCAGACGTCACAGTTTGCCTCGAGGAAGATTCTCAATCAGGCACACCGTGAAAGTTAATACTGAACAAAATTCGCAAAGTCTCGACCGCACGAGATGTCACTTTTGGTTTCGTTGCTGGTGTAAGAAAGGGTTGCTAGCCAGAGCTGGATTTTTTAAAACCATTGCCGGAACATTCTTTAATTTTTTCTTTCGATTGTTCTTAAAATTTGTACTGAAGATTTAGACTGTCAGCAATGCAACAAGTATCACCTTACTTCTTGACCTTGTCTCGGCTTCTGCCAGTCCCCGTGTTCCCGATGGGAATCTTGATCTCACTGTTATAAGCGTAGCTTCAAGGGTTCCAGAGTAAAACCAAGCGACCGCCTAAAGAAGAAGAAGAAGAAGATGAAATGTAGGGTGTTTGCATACCGATCGGAAATATTTTTAGGGTTTACTCGCTCTTGAGACATTCAAAACATTCAAAATATGGACAATTATCTCTAAGGGCCTGATTACATGAGCCGGGCTGGCCCTGTTAGCCGGGCTGATTTGTTTTGTTTTTTAGATCAGCTAAGGCGGTGTGCGCATTCTGATTGCGTTGCATCACGGTCGTAAAACAAAAATTGAGTCATTTGCATAGGAAAAACGCCAGGGCGGAGGAGGTCTTCAGCGGACATGCCTTGAATGCCATTAAGGACATGTAAGTATCATGAATTGTTTCCACGCAATTATGGGCGCGACTGTACTGGGCAACCGGAAAGGAAAGGAAACTCTTTATTCGCACTATTTCAAGAGGTTACTACAGATTATAAAAGTCAGAATATATAAAAAACTGTAAATTACATCAATAATCGAAAGTAAAATGTGCACAGTGACCAAAGTAGCATAGCTTTCGAGTTGGCCTCTGTCTAAGGAAAGGACTAAAACAAGGAGGACCATTCAGTTTCGGATATAAATCGAACAGAAATCTCGTCTCTTACACTTGTATCTTTAATGAAACATGTGCAATTCACAGTTTTGGACATAAACCAAACAGGAATCTCCTCACTTATCTTTAATAAAATCTGTAATTATTACCGGCAATTGAAGACACAATTGTTATCGTGCCTAGCTCCTCAGTTTGATCGGAAGTCACGCAACAAAATAACGGAACTTTTGGTAATATAAAAAATTTCCTAGAAATTTAATGAAAAAATAAAACTAGAAAGTAACAAAATAAAATGAAATTAAAAATGGAACGGTAATAAGGTGAGATGATAATACAATACAAGATACATAAATTAGTACTTTCTTATTCTACCTCTAATTACTAGTACAAAAAGATAACATATTATATTATTGCGTAAACAACGCGCGAGAATGCGACCACAGCGCGTTTGCTTTTAATGTTGAAAATAAATAAATTAATAAATCCACATATATTTGCAGTAAACACGTGCAGGCATCGAACATATAAAGTTGCTTACAGTTAAACCATGTCTACTTCCTTAACGCCCAGAGTACATTATTTCCGCGATATGTCGAGGATTTTAAGATTCGCATATTTCGCCACACTAAATTTTCCGACTTTTAGCAAAATAATTTCGTATTTTTTTATCGAAATTCTGTATTTGGAATCAATTAATTTAGCGTTGTTATTTGAAACAAATCCTTAAGGACGCTCGCGCGAAAGTCTTGTATCATTTCATTACCCAAGTGGCATGAATTGGTTTCACGATAACGATAACTTAGGTCGTCATTCATATTTTCAAAGTTAATACCACAGTTTACTTGCTTTTGGACCTGGAAACGTGTGGTTATTCACTCACTAAAAAGATCATCAACTTTTTTCTTGATTATTGACATAATGTTTACTTCATTTTCGCGTTATGATATGTTCGCGACACTTATTTTTCGTGTCGCATTAATGTCTCGATAATTTCTGGCGGGAAAGGTTTATCTCTTGACGTATGACCATGTCAAATGTCTTGTGTGTTTTCGTGACGCCTAAAGGTGTGTCCGGTGAAGACCCCCATACTCCGCCCGGGCGTTAATTTTTACCCAATTGCATCTCGACGCTTTGGAGTGGACATCTTTGGTGATAGCGACATAGCGTGAATATACGTAGATTGTAATGGGGATTCACTGTCTGTTCCCATTCCTTTGAAAGTTAAAACGCTTGATGGCCCTGCGCGACTCGTGTCATTCCTCCGTGACGAATTCGTTCTTTGGAGGAGACTGACGTTATTTGGAAAGATTTGAACCTGCAATGTTTTGTTCTTTTATCAACAATTCTTTTTACCGTTTTTCCTGGCTCCCAAGTTTACGTTTTGGCTGAATCGCCTAGTCCAAGTACTGCTAACTCTGTATACCCATGTGATTGACACTCTGTTTGCTGTTTCAGTGTGCCGTCGATTGTGTATGCAAGAGTACAATTGCATAGACAGGAAAAACAATGCGTTTTGATTGGCTAAACCAATTTTTCCCAGCCGCTGGATACCTTTTCCCTTATTTTTCTTATTGTGCTATGTTCAAATAATGGGTCAGGTCAAATGTGTTAAAAGTATTCTCATTTAGCAGCTTCAATCGTGTGTGTTTATGTGAAGCTGGTGTTCAAGTACGCCATATTTTTTTCCAAATAAAACAAGCGCTTTACAAAGCTTAAGCGAGCAGATGTGGAACTTTTCGAGTCGATAATAATTATCCTCCCACGGCTGTTGTTAAGACGAAGATGAATATTAAAAGAATGGTAATCATCCATGCTTGAATGAAATTTCAACTCGGCTATTCGATTTGGTGGATTTTTGGGCAAGAACTGTCCTTGGCTTAAGATGAAAAAGTCATGCCGCTTCCTAGAGTAAAGTTCAGTTGGTGCTCAGCTACCCTCCACGATCGTGGCAAGGCTTAACACAAGTTCAAGACGGTATGAATATTAAAAAGCATCTTAATGAAATTATTATTCAAAATCACTTCACGCTTGATGTTTAAAAAGCGGCTGGAGTTAGTCAGTTAACTTTCTCGCACTGAAATGCATGATAAAAGGACAGTAGTCTAAGAAATATGGGTCAGGCAGTCGGTGTGCGTTTTG